TGTCCCCGTATGAGGAGCTGGAACTGATAGAGGGAGCTCATCCGCCTCTCCCCGGATTCGAACCTGAGACCTGTCGGGTTTCAGTCCTGCCGGCACAGGGGTTTAACCCACTGTGCCACCGGGGGCTCCAACATTGGGTTATAACTTCTTCATCTCGCAAGGCAAGGTTCCACAGGCGGGCTGCTGGCGGTATCCGTTATCCACTTAACAGATCTTGAAATCCACGCTTTGGGTTTCACTATCCGTGGTCCGGATCTCACTATCCGCGACTGCTCTAAATTGCTCAATTTCCAACTGCCATATAATCTTGTATCCGATCCCAGATGATCTGCTTGGAAGTGGATTATGAGTCTACACTGCCATATAATGCAGTTCAAAGCCATCAAAGTGGTGTCATCTGCATATCTAAGGTTGTTAATGTTTCTTCCAGCAATCTTAACCCCAGCCTTGGATTCGTCAAGCCCTGCAAATCGCATGATGTGTTTTGCATATAAAGTTGAATAGGTTGGAGTATACAATTCTGAATATCCATCCTTATTATGTAAACTGCTCTGCATTTACAACATCCAGTGCATTGAGCGCCCTCAGCTGGTCATAGTCGGGAGTGGCGCTCATTCCATATTCTTTCCCTTTGTTTTTTTCTTCCTTATGTAATCTGTGATGCATTTCCTTGCATTCATTGTATCCTTTGGGGTTTTGACTCTACAATCAATAGATATGCCCTGCCTGCTAACTTTAATGTATCCCTTTGCTCGAGTCCCATTACTAGGCTGTTACTGTGGGGAGTTTTGTGTGAGGGACACTCCAGCTCCCCATTTGGGTTCAACGTGCCAACATGGCGCCCGGCTCATCCTTCCCTCTCGGGATTCCACAGCATTTGCTCTCCCCGCCTCAAAAAAGGGAGGGGCTCGGCGCCGTGGACGCATGCGCAGACGGCTTCAGGAAGGTGCCTCTGTAAGTTGCCATGTCATTGATACCTGGAGGGGGCTGCGTTTTTACCCCCCCTCCATTTTAGAAATGGAACGCGCCGGGTGGAGAATGATGAGGCTAGGAACGGGACCGTGGGCGAATCCATTGCCGGAAATAGGGTGGGGGGAGGAAGGAAGCGTATTTCACTGGGCTGGTCTCATTCCTGAGGGAGGAATGAGTCCAGTCCAGTCAAAAGGAGGGCTGCACTTGTGTTTTCATTATAGTCGTCCATCATTTTATTATTTATGTGGCCTTGAGTCCCGCCCAGACATGCCACTTGGTGAAGCTGAATTCTTGTCGCTTTCTAGCCAGAAATAACGCAAAAGGATGTTGGGTTATTTGCTTTGAATTGGATTATATGTCAGTGTAGACATATGTCTGTCAGGGTAGACACAGTTCAAAGCAGATAATGTGGATGTATCTACTTTGATAATCTGGATTGCATGGCAGTGTAGATCCAGCCTGAGACCCCTTCCATGCAGCTGTATGAAATCCACATTGAACTGGATTATATGGCAGTGTGGACACAGATAATCCAGTTCAATACCAGAGGCACTCCCAAGTGGCCAGCTACTGGTCAAAGGACATTTAATCAACTACCAAGCTTGCAAACTTTGTGTTTTGTTTGTTTGTTAAAAAAATGCAATGCAACTGTTCGGTCTGCCCCTGACGCCATAAATAAATAAAATCCAAAATATTGTGGACTATCTGCCTTGATATTCTATTCTCAGTGATATTCCAGGCATGTTCCCACTTTGCTGAGGTTGTTGTCTTTGCAAGCCAAAGCATCTTTTGGGTTTTTTAAATTATTTTGTGTGTGTAAGGAGTTACTTGAGAAACTGCAAGTCGCTTCTGGTATGAGAGAACTGTCTGTCTGCAAGGAGGTTGCCCAGGAGACGCCCAGGTGTTTTGATGTTTTACCATATTTGCGGGAGGCTTCTCTCATGCCCCTGCACGAGGAGCTAGAGCTAACAGAGGGAGCTCATCTGTGCTTTCCCCGGATTCAACCCTCCAACTAGTCTTGCCAGCACAAGGGTTTAACCCATTGCCCCACTGGGGGCTCATCTGAGTAAAAGATAGGAAGAAGATACTACACTGAGACAACAGGGGAAGAAAAAACCTGTGAAGGGCCCAGGCCCCATTTTCACATTACATAACAAAAAGACTATGATTCTATTTTGACTGCAATGAATATGTTATATGCAAAGCTGGGATTTGTAGTTTGATGAACCTCTAGACCTCTTTGACTGACAGATAAAGTGAAATCATAGTCCGATATATAGCATGAAAGGGATGATGCAAAAGATATACATCCAGTCCCTGAGTTACAAACAACTCATAGTTAAGAACGGGGGTGAGACAACAGGAAGAGAGATATATCTACCCCAAGCCCAATTCAAAGTGCAGGCTTTAGCCTATAAAGTTTTAAACGGTTCTGACCCAGCTTACCTGTCTGAACACGTCTCCGTTTATGAACCACCTCAGAGGTTAAGATAATCTGGGGAGGCCCTGCTTTGCAGGCACGACTGGTGGGGACAAGAGACAGGGCCTTCTCAGTGGTGGCCCCTCAGCTGTGGAACTCCCTCCCCAGTGAAATCAGATCAACTCCCTTCCTCCTGACCTTCAGAAAATAATTAAAAAGGTGGACGTGGAACCAAGCTTTTGGACAGTAATTTTTCAGTGCAATAATACGGAATAGTGCAATGACAACTAGAACAGCTTTGGACTATGATTTTGGATTACGTAATTTTAATAATTGCTTTTAATGTTGAGTTCAGATGTTTTTAACTATTTGGTTTTAATTATTATTATTATTATTATTAAACTTTATTTGTACCCCGCTAGCATCTCCCAAAGGACTCGATGCGGCTTACAAAGGCCAAGGCCTCAACACAATAACACCAAAAAATAACAATGCAGCAAATTAAAAACATAAGCAAAACACAACAAAACATTACACTATTACACAATAAAATCAGGGCCGGGTATGTATATGTATACTTCATTTGTATGTATGTTTGTGTGGCATTGTATTGTTGCCTGCTGTAAACCGCTCTGAGTCCCCTTCGGGCCAAGAAGGGCGGGGTATAAATATAGTAATATATATACATACACACACACACTCACACATATGATGGAGTTGCACTTAAGAAATGCACCTGTTCCAACTTACAAACAAATTCAACTTCAGAACAAACCTATAGAACCTATCATGTTTGTAACTTGGGGACTGCCTGTATATTTGGGATACCTGCATTGGCCATAAAGCAAAATATAGCAAAATTGAAAACATATTTGCAGTGGTACTTTTATTAGGTCAACAGAAAGGCACCAAAGGCATCTTGCTTTCAGAGATCACAGGCTTCTTCATCAGGCAGGTATGTTAAAAATATTTTAGTGAAAAAATAGTGATGGTGGAGGGTTGCAAAGCTGAATCTTTCTTGAGAGGTTACAGCTGATTTGGTGATGGGAGGTTTGATGCAAGTCCAGATCACATTATAGAATCATAGAATCCTAGAGTTGGAAGAGACCTCATAGGCCATCCAGTCCAACCCCTTGCCAAGAAGCAGGAATATTGCATTCAAATCACCCCCTTGATGGGCAGGAGGCATTTGAGACACAAAAGCAAAACAAGATAGCGCCCCCCCCCCCCCCCCCCCCCCCCCCGCACCTTTGTTAGAAGCAAAGCCAATCTCTTTGAGATCAAGCCTAGATAGTGATACACTCTAACTTTTGTTAAGAGTGTATCGCTATCCAGAATGTATCTCTGTCCAAATGACATACTATGTAACTAGACACCAAATTGTGTCTAGTTATGTAATAATCTATATAAATAAAAATGTAATGTTTGTTTGTGGGATTAACATAATTCAAAAACCACTGGACAAATTGACACCAAATTTGGACACAACACATTTAACAGTCCAACAAGTGTCCATCACCCCTAAAACACACACACACACTCACTCACACACATAACCACAGTGGAACAGACTTAGAACCCCCAAAATACACCTTATATACATATACAAATACACTCATATGCATATACACATGCACACATTCATAAACACACACACACATATATATGCACAAACACACACAAATATACATATATACACACATACATATATACATACACACATATATGCACACACAAATATACATATATACACATACATATATACATGTGCATGCACACATACATGTACACATACATATACACATGCATACACATATACATATACACATATATACACACAAATATGCATATAGACAAGCACACACATATACACAATATGCATGTACACATATAAACACACAAATACACAAACATATATACACCCACCCACACACACACACACACACACACATATATATATATACATATATATACACACACATACACATACATACATACATACATGCAAACATACATATATACACCCACATAAACACAAAACACAAATATACACAGATTGGACCACAACAATGTGTGGCAGGGAATGGCTAGTAACAACAACAACAACAACAACAACAACAACAACAACAACAACTTTCTTCTTGCATCTCACCTCCATCTCCCCGAAGGCACTTGGGACAGCTTATTTATGGCACAAAGTTCCTAAAACAGAGCATAAAATAAATATACAGTACAATACAATAAAGTAAAACATACTTATATAAATAAAAATGTAATGTTCGTTTGTGGGATTAACATAACTCAAAAACCACTGGGCGACTGGACACAAATTTGGAGTTATGCTCCTTTGGAGTGTGCCCACCCTTCAAGTAGCTGCTGTCATTTTGGATGATGTCTCTCCATTCTGTCTCCAATTTCTGTTTTCTATTGCTATGGTTTAGAAATGGGATTTCTCCCCCTGGAGAGCAGCAATACCTAGAATTCCCCAGTGGTCATATTGACAGAGGGAACTTTGGGATTTATCCTCAAAAAGCCACATTTCCAAACTGAAAGGATATCAGTGGGTCTGGTTGGAAGCACATCATCCCCTTTGCTGTAGCTCTGATGGCCTCCTGTTTCCTGTTACATTTCTAGATCTCTGGTCTTGAATATGTCCCTGGAAGCAACGCCTGCTCCTGAGGGGGAGACCGCCCCGCTCTCGGCAGCAATGAGGGCGAAGATCGAGAGAAATCGCCAGCGGGCACTGATGCTGAGGCAGGCAAGGCTGGCCACCAGGCCCTACCCTTCAGCTGGGGAAGGTGGGATTTTCTCTCTGGTATAGTCCAGGGGTAGCAGGACAGGTGGATCAAGGTCCAGGGAGTTTGTGACCGCTTTTGCCCATAGGCAAGGAAGGGGTAGCTGACACAGTAGACAGGATGAATTTTTCTACACCGGTCCCCTTTATTAAACCTCCATAGCTGTAAACAGTTGTACATGCAGCTTCTTAATATATTTTGGAATTGAAAAAAGAGACAAATTTGGGGATGACGTTCTGCATCATTGGCAATGCAGTAATCCTTAAAAGTCATTTGCATCCCAGACCACCATGGGGCATTTTCTTCCTCCCCTACCTGTAGTCTGTCATTTTAACATATTTTCCCAGATGATTGGATACTTTATTCCAATTGGAGTAGCTTTCACCGTTGGGGCTGCCAATAGCTTCTGATAGCCCCATAGGACAGGGGTCCTCAAACTAAGGCCCGGGGGCTGGATACGGCCCTCCAAGGTCATTTACCTGGCCCTCGCTCAGGGTCACCCTAAGTCTGAAATGACTTGAAAGCATACGAGAGCAACAACAACCCTATCTCATCAGCCAAAAGCAGGCCCACACTTCCGATTGAAATACTAATAAGTTTATATTTGCTAAAATTGTTCTTCATTTAAATTATTGTATTGTTTTTAAGTATATTTGCACTACAAATAAGATACGTGCAGTGTGCATAGGAATTAATTCATGTCCTTTTTTTCAAATTATAATCTGGCCCTCCAGCAGTTTGAGAAACTGTGACCTGGCCCTCTGTTTAAAAAGTTTGAGGACCCTTGCTGTAGGAAGTCCACATGCACTTAGCAAATCCCAAAGGGCAAAACCTCAGCTTAACTCAGTTAGCTTATGCTTCCCAGTAAGATTGTCAACTCTTTGAAAAGAGAATAACATGAGTTGATGCAGGGGAGTCATCCTAAACCTGTGGCCCTTCAGTTGTTTAGGCCTCCAACTCCCCGAAGCCCTTGCCAGGCTGTTCAGTGGTCGGGAATTCTGGGCGTTGGAGACCCCAACAGCTGGAGCTGCAGTTGGAGGATGCCTGATGTAAGATATCGAACGTACTGGGCAATCTTGGATTGGTCACTCTCTCCCAGCATGGTCTTCTTCTCAAGGCTGTCAAGAGAAAGTAGGGAAGAAGAGAGCCATGTTCATTATTTTGAGTTTGATGAAAAAACAGGACAAAATGAGGCAGATAAATAAATATATCTGGATTGGAAATTCTACTTTTGAAATGCATTTTCTTTTTGGTTTTGAATTTGTGTTGATATTAGATTTACTGGAGTCCCCGGTGGCACAGTGGGTTAAACCACTGAGCTGCTGAACTTGCTGACCAAAAGGTCGGCAGTTCAAATCCAGGGAGTGGGGTGAACTCCTATCGTTAGCCCCAGCTTCTGTCAACCTAGCAGTTTGAAAACATGCAAATGTGAGTTGATCATTAGGTACCGCGCTGGCAGGAAGGTAACGGCGCTCCATGGAGTCACGCCGGCCACATGACCTTGGAGGTGTCTATGGACAACACCAGTTCTTCGGCTTAGAAATGGAGATGAATACCACTCCTGAGTCGGACATGACTAGACTTAATGTCAAGGGGAAACCTTTACTTATTAGATTTACCATTTATTTAATATATTTTATTAAACTACTTTACGAACTAGAAGGACCTAAGTTGATTTTATCTTATTCAACCCTGTATTTAAAACGTTGTCTTTTCCTTCCTCTTAGGCAGTTCTAGAGTTAAGGCTCCTCCAAAGGTAATAGATACAGGGGGAGGATTCTTTCTTGAAGAGGAGGAAGAAGAGGAGGCCACAGTGAAGAAAATAGTTCATCTTCCAGGTAAATTCTGAAGAAATGATTGTGATTGGATACTTTTAGTGAATAAAGCCACCCCGAGTCCCCGTTGGGGGAGATGGTGGCGGGATATAAAGATTATTATTATTATTATTATTATTATTATTATTATTATTATTATTATTATAATAAAGGGAACTAAATAAAAGCAATAATTCTTTTCCTTTTTTTCTTTTTACCTGCTGGTTTGATATTAGGTCGGGGTGTCTTTCCAGATCAAAATAGGTGTTTGGGATTATGTTAAGTGACAGTGCTGGCCATTACTGAGTGGTTCACACACAGAGAACCCATGGACGGTGTCCTCATAACGTATCACAAGGAAAACTATATTGCAAATACAGATGATGGTTGGCATGCACTGATTGTTTTTCTTAGCTTGAGATACACATCTTCCACTGGTAATATTTTTCCTTAGTTATATAGCAGACATGGGCAAGCTTGGACCATCCCTCCAGGTATTTTGGACTTCAACTCCCACCATTCCTAACAGCTCAGGCCCCTTCCTTTTCTCCCTCAGCCGCTTAAGATGGCCATGCAATCTTTGTTTAAAAATCTCCAGAAAAGGAGACTTCATCACATCCTGAAGTTGTGCATTCCACTGTTGAACAGCAGTTACCATCTGGAAATATTTTCCTAATATTTAGGTGGAATTTCTTTTCCTGTAGCTTGAATCTGTTGCTCTGTATCTTGCTCTGTATCCTCCAGAGCTGGAAATGGAAGGAGAAGCCTTTGCTTCTGTCTGTGTATTTGTGTCTCATTGTATGTCATTGTAATCAAGGCACTGAATGTTTGGCTATGTCTGTTTATATACTGTAATCAGATCTGAGTCCCCTCAGGGAAAAGGGCGGAATATAAATAAAGTGTTGTTGTTGTCATCTTATTCTTAGGAATCAAAGTTGATCCCTCCTCAATGTGACATCCATGCAAATGGCAATAATGTATTCCCCTTTAACCTTCTCTTCTACACACTGAACATACCCAGTTCCTTAAGCTGCTCCTCATAGGACTTGATTTCAAGACCTTTTAACATTTTGATCCCCCTTCTCTGTTTTGGTTACACAATTTCTTAGTTGCCCTAATGACACGTAGTTAAATACGTAAATAAATACACAGATGAAATCAACTCTGATTTTGACATTACTCTTATTGGAACTCAACCACATCCTGCACAAGTTTGTAGTCCTCATCAAGGAACTAGATAGGCTGATGAGTTAGCTGGCAGGGAAAGCAATTTTCTTCTCTGTCAGCTTGTCACTCTATTCTCTCATCCTATCTCCTGTTTGATAGACTGATACTTCTCAGGGACGTGCCTACTTTGTTTCTCGTTTCAGCCTCATTGCAAGCTATTGAGACCTCCATTTTGTTGTTCTCCTGTGAGCATGAAGAGAGACATGTCTGCTTCAGTGAGTTGTACAGTTAGGCCTTTACTTTCCTATATAGTAATATACTGTAGTTTTACTATATAGGAAAGTAAAGGCCTAACTGTACAATGTTCCTATATAGTAATATACCATAGTTTTAGGAGCCCCCGGTGGCGCAGTGGGTTAAACCCTTGGGCTGGCAGGACTTAAGACCGACAGGTCATAAGTTCGAATCTGGGGAGAGCGCAGATGAGCCCCCTTTATCAGCTCCAGCTCCTCGTATGGGGACATGAGAGAAGCCTCCCACAAGGATAACACATCAAAACATCCGGGCGTCCCCTGGGCAACGTCCTTGCAGACGGCCAGTTCTCTCACACAAGGAGCGACTTGCAGTTTTCTCAAGTCACTCCTTACACAACAACAACAAACAAACAAACAAAACAAAAAAACGTAGTTTATTCAGTAGTCTCTTATAAAGCTTGACTGTGCTCCTGTAATGGTTGAAGTTCATTTGCTCTATTGCTAGGCTCAAGAAGCTTCTGGTCTGCTAAATTGCTGCTAGTGCTGTTGTTGCTGGTTTACATTTTTAAATATTATTTTCCTTTTTGAAATTACCCCCAACAACTCTTGCATCATACACAATGTTGTTAATATTATTCTGATAAAATTGTCTTAGGCTTTCCCAGAAATTTGATTTAAACACTCCAGTTAAGTGTTAAGTGGGTAGGCTTGCAGGAAAGCAAAAACCTAGCATCCCTAGATACAGTAACATATCTGTTGGGCATGGAGACCACTTGACAGCCCCCTGTGAAGAATCTGCTTGACACTTGGCAGACAAAATCATTCAGATCGCCTGTGACAATAAAACCATCACATTTGCTGATATTTCAAAGTTGAAGGTCACAACTTTCCCACTTGCATTGCTACCTCATCATTCATTCATTTATTATTATTATTATTATTATTATTATTATTATTATTATTATTATCTTGAATATATTTATCAGCTTAAAAGCCCTTGTTTTTGTGTTCTTAGGGCCTGTATTAGAATGTGATTATCTCAATTGTGAAGACTGTGGTAAAGAATTCATGGACTCCTACCTCATGAACCACTTTGATCTAGCAACATGTGATAACTGCAGGTACAGCAAATAATGAATAAGCATATTCTGTACTTAAGAACAGGTTTCTTTTTAAAATAAATGTGATGTGTGGCTGGTCCTTCATTTTTGGGAGTTTAACTTTTCTGGATTTACTTTTTTTTGTGGATTTAGTGAAATATATCCTCTCTAGGAATCTCTAGGTGCTCCAGCTTGACTTATGGACAATTCATCATAGAGTCATGCCAGAGGACCTAGAGATTTCTAGAGAGAGAACGTTTTGTAGGTTTTCCAGCATGCTTTTATGGTCAATTTCTGGCAGAAGTTATCATACAGTTATACTTGAAAAGCTAAAGATTCTCAGAGTTAAAGAGCAGCTTTTTATTCAATTTTCCCACTTTCACTGTGGTACTGTGTCCCTAATCTGTGTGAAATAGAGGGCCTACTGTATTATTTTCAGCTTGATATAAAAGAAAATGTTTTAAATTCATTTCATATAGTGAATCATTATTGTGTCCTCGTTTTAACTGAACAAAAAGGGACAAGAATATTCTTCAGTTATTTTTTATATATTGTTAACACACAGTCAAGGGCTGCCTGGTGGCGCAGCGGGTTAAACTGCTGAGCTGCTGAACTTGCTGACTAAAAGGTTGGTGGTTTGAATCCAGGGAGCAGGGTGAGCTCCCACTGTTAGCCCCAGATTCTGAATCCAGTGAGCAGGGTGAGCTCCCGCTGTTAGCCCCAGCTTCTGCCAGCCTAGCAGTTCAAAAACATGCAAATAGGTACCGCTTCTGTGGGAAGGTAATGGCGCTCCATACAGTCATGCTAGCCACATGACCTTGGAGGTGACATGTCGGCTCTTTGGCTTAGAAATGGAGATGATCATCACCCCCTGCCCCAAAGTCGGACATGACTAGACTCAGAGGAAACTTTGACATTAGGTCTACTCATGTCCGACTCTGGGGAGTGTTGCTGAAGTTCACCTCACTCCCAGGAGTCTAACCACTAATCTTTCGGTCAGCAAGTTCAGCAGCTCAGTAGTTTGACCCGTTGTGCCACCAGGGGCTCCTCCAAACCTACTACATGATACAAAATACTCCGGCAATAGGAGAAAATGGAAGGAAAAAAACTTTGTGTAAATCCTAGAAAGCAAAGAATTTATCTGTTGTGTTGGAACTTGTGGATACATGCAGAATAGATCTGTTTCATTTTGGACTGCTTTCTTGTTTCAGAGATGCTGAAAATAAACACAAGTTGATAACAAGGACCGAAGCAAAGCAAGAATACCTTCTGAAAGACTGCGATTTAGACAAGCGGGAACCAGTGCTCAGATTCATTTTGAAGAAGAACCCTCATAATGCACAGTGGGGTGACATGAAGCTTTATTTAAAGCTACAGGTATTGCATTTTACTACTGCACTAGTGCAACCTCACTTTTGCAGCTCCAGAAGCCCCCAAATGCTCCCCTAAAGCCTCTTAAATGTGTGCAAAATGTTTTTTCCCAATTCCCCAGTGATTTCGAGCACCTTTTCACCCCAAATCTGACCAAATCTGCCCCCAAATGGCTGCAAATGCAGACTTTTTTTCCGTCCAAAAGCTTTCCTAATCCACAAAACCAGGGGCGGGGTGGGGGTGGGGGGTTGGGGGGGGGCAAGTACGATAATAATAAACTTAAAATGAAAGTACCATGACATCCCGTGTGTGCTTGAAAGAGAGCAGCATAGCAATATTGGATGGGAGAAAGTACCCCTGCTTTCTCTCCTTTTGTACACAGACCTCCCCTCCAAAAAAACTATAGCAAAATGTGCTGCAGGATGTCCCACGGAAACATGATTATTGCAGTTTAATAAACTATTCCCATGTTTTCATGATAGAACCAATTAGGAAATGGCATTTATATTCCAGGAACAAAAATTGTGTTACATAGTGTAATATGATAGTCACCAGTCAGCACTACTTCTTCCAGTTTCCTTAGTATGTTGGGAATGTGATCCACCAAACAAAGATACTGTTTGTTCCCCGTGCCCATGCTTTATTGACCCACTGTTAAATATCCTAAATGTGAGCTAAAACTGTTGAAAGTGTTAGAAAATAATGGGTAGTATCAGTTAGGTGAACAGACATCAAACCTTGGGAGGCATCTGCTCTTTGTGTTGCTACTTTTTACTGGACAAGGAAGCAGTTGAGACAGTCAGCTCTTCACTTCTAAGCAGAGAAGAACTGAGGATGTGTTCACAGATGGAGTGTGCGCTCATTCCCCTTCCTCTAGGGAAGAGCTTTCCCTAGAGGAAGGGGAATGAGCGCACGTTTGCAACGTTAGTGTATCCGCTGCAGTGCATAGTACACACGGAACAGAGAAACCTCTCAACCTATGTGAAATACACAAGAAATCTTATTTTAAAAAATATAAATGAAAGGTTTTCATGAGATATTGTGTCACCTTAAGTTAAAAAAGGTTTTCCCTGACATTACGTCTAGTTGTGTCCAACTCTGAGGGGATGTGCTCATCTCCATTTCCAACTGACATCTTGGCCAAATCAACACAGCTCACAAAACCAAAGTGAAGTAGTCTGCATCACAAATTCAAAGGCCTATCTTTTAATAGTTTAATTATTTATTATTTATTTAAAACATTTATATTCCGCCCTTTTCACCCCGAAGGGGACTCAGGGCAGAGCACAGCATATACACGGCAAACATTCAATGCCGGGACACAGATTCACATACAATACATAAACATTAAAAAACATTTGTCAAAATATTAAAATACACCATTTAAAACCGTCCTAGCCATCCGCATCAAATCCAATTGGCCCAGTCATCTTTCCCACTGCCGCTTCATTGCCCTGTCCCGAAAGCTTGGTCCCACAGCCAAGTTTTTACCATCCTTCTAAAGGACAGGAGGGAGGGGGCTGACCTGATCTCACCAGGAAGGGAGTTCCATAGCCAGGGAGCAATCACCGAGAAGGCCGTCTCTCGTCCCCACCAATCGTTTAAAATAGTTCTGCATTATTTTGCAGGTTATCAAGCGTTCCCTTGAAATTTGGGGAAGCGAAGAAGCATTAGAAGAAGCAAAAGAAAGCCGCCAAGACAACAGAGAGAAGATGAAACAGAAAAAGTTTGATAAAAAAGTCAAAGGTGTGTAGCAAAGCACTCTTTATTGTCTCCTGTCACTGAAAGATCTGAATATAGTGCTTCAGTGTCTGGCTCAGTGAATTGGTACTTGTGCTCATTCAGGAGGAGAGGAGGGAAGGAAACCTCACTTGTGGTAGAGATTGGAGAATTTTACAAATAATAACATAGTAAAGGTAAAGCTTTCCCCTCGACATGAAGTCTAGTCGTGGGGTGATGCTCATCTCCATTTCTAAGCCGAAGCGCCGGCATTGTCCATAGACGCCTCCAAGGTCATGTGGCCAGAATGACTGCATGGAGCACTGTTACCTTCCTGCCAGAGGAGTACCTATTGATCTACTCATATTTGCATATTTTCAAACTGCTAAGATAGCAGAAGCTACGGATAAGAGCAGGAGCTCACTCCGCTTCCAGATTTGAACCGCCAACCTTTCAGTCAGCAAGTTCAGCAGCTCAGTGGTTAAATAGCATTATTTTGGAACCCATTATGTCTTTTCTCAAACACTATCAGCTGCTGGCCATTTTGAGATTTTTCAAGTTTCTCATGTTATTTTTTATTAATGAAGCTGACAGATGGGTATTCATACTCAGTCCTGGCCATATTGAGATACCAGTTGTCAAAAATGATTACATAAAATGGAAATAAGGTTTCAATTTTTGTAAATTTGTTTCATCATGTTTTATGCCTTGACTGTGCTTGATATGACCAAAATATAGGGAGTCTAAAGAAAGGGAGTTTGAGTGTGAAAGAGCAGTTTGTGTTGGATTATGACTTTGGAGACTAGGGTTCAAATGTCTGCTTGGCTATGGAAGCCAACTGGGTGACTGGGAAAGTCACACTCTCTCAGCTCCAGAAAAGGGCAAAGGCAAACCCTCAATTTTGTCAGGAGCAATTTTTGAAGACAGGATTAACCAGTAAGACTAACATCTACTATTTATTTAATTTCTCATTATGTGCCTTCAAGTCTTTTCTGACTAATGATGATCCTAAAATGAAGTCATGTGTTGAAATGGGAATTCATACTTTCTTCTGAGCCTGAGTGTGAGACTTGCCCAAGGACATACCATGGCGAAGCTGACACTTTTTTTTCGTGTCAGGAGCAACTTGAGAAACTGCAAATCGCTTCTGGTGTGAGAGAATTGGCCGTCTGCAAGGACGTTGACAAGGGGATGCCTGGATGTTTGATGTTTTTACTATTCTTTGTGGGAGGCTTCTCTCATGTCCCTGCTGGGGAACTGAAGCTGACAGAAGGAGCTCAACCCACTCTCCTATCAGTCAGCAGTCCTGTCAGCACAAGGGTGTAACCCATTGCACCACTGAGGGCTCCTGACTCTCATGCCCAAATTGATGCTTACTTTGGGTTTTTCTCATTCAGTTTGAAAGCTCTACTTTAGGAATAGAGGATTTGTTTCAATACAGTATTCAAGCCTTGGTCCCAGTGTACATTCAAGCAGCGCGGGGGGGGGGGGTAGTCAAGGCAGGAGAACAATTTTTGGACTTTCTGATTAACAAAAATGTTTGAATTTTTAACTATTTTGTACTAGAACTGCGCCGAGCCATAAGGAGCAGCACCTGGAAAAAAGACACAAGTTTCCATCATCATGAGTATGGAGCCGAAGAAAAGATAGATGAGGATATGTACAAGAAAATCTGTACCACGTGTGGTCATGAACTAACATATGAAAAAATGTAATGCCCTTGATTGTACATGAAGTGCACTTTTTGTAATTCTGATTTTTTGTATGTATTAAAATGAATGCTCTCACTTGCTTCAAGAGTTTTTACTCACACTATAATCCACATCCAGAAATATTGTACTATCATTATTGCATGATAGAAGTAACTTGGAAATATAAACTTTTCCAAAAGGCCAGTGAATAACAGTTCTGACTATGCAGTGTTCTTAGAAATTCATGATGGCCATGTATAAATATGTGAGGGGAGGTCATGGGGAGGAGGGAGCAAGCTTGTTTTTTGCTGCCCTGGAGACTAGGACGCAATGGAACAGTGGCGTCAAACTGCAACACACCTGAACATTAGGAAGAACTTTCTGTGAGAGCTGTTCAGCAGTGGAACTCTCTGCCCCAGAGTGTGGTGGAGGCTCCTTCTTTGGAGGCTTTCGAACAGAGGCAGGATGGCCATCTGTCAGTGGTGCTTTGAATGCGATTTTCCTGCTTCTTGGCAGGGGGTTGGACTGGATTACCCATAAGGTCGCTTCCAACTCTATGATTTTATGATTCCCCATTTACTTCAGTAACATAAAATGGGTTGCTGGGAGTTTTTCAGGCTGTATGGCCATGTTCCAGTAGCATTCTCTCCTGAGGTCAGGAAAGAATGCTTCTGGAACATGTCCATACAGCCTGAAAAACTCAGTAACCCAATAATTCCCACCATGAAAGCCTTTGACAACACATAAAATGGATTATTTATTCAAGTTAAACTGTTTTTATGCATGTACACCAAGAGGATGAAAACATGCAAAAACCTTCCTACTTTCTTGGGAGGAAACCAATTAAAACAAAAATCCAAAACTGGAGCCATTTAAGGCTGAGGCTGTTCTTCCTCCCTCCCTCCCCTGAAGTAAGATAATTAAAACAAATATGAATCTGCAAATCTAAGGTGCTATCAATTGTAAGGCACATCTCATTTTTGGAGCTCCTAAAATAGGAACCAATGTGTGCCTTAGAATCAGTGAACTACAGTATGTATGTGTATACACACACACACTTCTGATTTTCCATCTGAGGAGTAACAGAAGCACAGCCCCTCAGCCAATTACTGCAGAGCTTTAATAGGAAAGTTCACTGACTTCATGAGAGTTCATCAGCTATTCCAGTGGTTCCCAATGTCCTCCAAGTGTTTTGGATTTCAGCTCCAACAATTCCCAGCAGCTGGTAAGCTGGCTGGGATTTCTAGGAGTTGGAAGTCCAAAACACCCAGAAGACCAATGGTTGAGAAAAACTAATTTTATTCTTTACACACTAATATGTATAACACCTTTAAAAACATTTAGAAGAACAGGTGACTTACCTGAAAGTGCTCCTTGGAGTGGCTATCCATGCCCTCCTACAAATAGGTTTTGCACTTGTGCAGAGACCCCGATTGGGAAGTTGTAGAGCTCAGCAGGTTGATGGTAACACCTTCCCTGTTCACCCTTTAGCACATGTCCCAACTTCCAAGCTGTTTCCTCCATTTACAAGTTTGCCAAAGATGAATCAGGGAAGTAGTGCTTCATAGTGCTTGAACTTTGTGAAACCCATTGCCACAAAATATAGCAATAGCTGCCAACTTGGGATAGCCTTAAAGGGGGGGATGGATAGTCATGACAAATAAGGGCTAGCCAGAATGGCTATATGTTTCCTCCAGGTTCTGAAGCAACATGCCAATCTTTATCAGTTGCTGGGGTGTCTGAAGTGAGGGTGTGATGGCACTCATGTTGGCCAGCGGGCAGCTGCTTGGACTCTGTGAACAGAAAGTTCAACTAAAGAGTGCTTTGGTCTGTTCCAGAATGGATTTCATGGCATTTCCCTTAAATATGTTGACCAGATGTACTATGATCTGACTACTGGTATTTAAAGTGAAGGCTTCTGAGAGAACATGTGATAAATATATTTGGGACAAAGATTCAATCACAAAGCTATTCCATTCAAGGTCCCTTAAGGAAAGGAGTCAGCAAACAAGAGGAAACCTAGAATCACGAAGCAGTATTTGGACTGCACATGTTTGATGCCTCATGGCTTGCAATAGTTGAAACAACTGTTATTAGATTGATATGTGGGGGAGACTATTCTTATAATCACTTAGCAGTCATCACACATAATCTCTGGTCTGAGAAACAGGGCTATGGGTCAGTGTGTAACTAATGTCAAGGTGAGATTGAATGGTGATGCAATCCTTCCTCTCATGTTTCTCCACACCAGAGAGCAGTTTTGTACTTCCTAAACCACAATTCTTGGTATGGATTATCACTGTAATTTAGGCCTGCACAACCTGCAGTCCTCCAGATTTTGGACTTCAGCTCCAAGAATTCCTGTCCATTGAACAAGCTGGTATTGGAGTCCCAAACACCTGGAGGGCCACAGGTTGCACACACCTGTTTGAATTTATAAACAGAACATGCCATACAGAAAGCGGGATGAGACATGGAGTTAGGAACACTAACAATTTAAGATATGCAAATGATACAATATTATTAGCAGAACACAGCAACTACTGAGAAAAGGTAAGGAGGAAAACGCAGAAGTAGGGATAGAGCTGAGGATTTAATGGAAGAAAACAATGTCTACATATGGGTTTTTTTTTAAAAAGGTGGATGAACAAGGTATCAAAATAGCTAAAAGATTTTCTGTATCTTAACTTGGGTACCAAAATTGAGACTGCAATTAAGAAATTTGAAGAAAACGAAGATTTAGAGGAGCAACTATGATGGAACTAGGTAAGATCTCTCAAGGATAAATATCAAAGTCAAGATGGTCCAGTGCCATAGTATTTTCAGCTTCTCAGTATGGCTATAAAGGCTAGATAATGAAGAAAACTAACAGGAAGATAACTCATTTGAAATGTGGTGCTGGATGAGAGTTCCACATATACAATGGACTGCCAGAAACAAGCAAACAAAAAGCAAAAATGTTCTTGAAGGTTTTTATGGCTGGAATCACTGGGTTGCTGTGAGTTTTCCAGACTGTATGATCATGTTCCAGAAGCATTCTCTCCCGAGGTTTCATCCACATCTATGGCAGGCATCCTCAGAGGTTGTGAGGTCTGTTAGAAACTAGGCAAGTGAGGTTTATATATCTGTGGAACTGAGAACATATAAATGCTGGACTACTCTAACAACTACACAGAGAAGCCATTGAAATCCACAAGCATGTGGACAATTCCAACAGAAAGGAGGAAGCCATGAAAATGAACAAAATCTGGCTACCAGTATTAAAAAAACTAAACTCTGCAGAGTAAATAAAGAGCAACACTAAAAAAACAGGGGGATTCTAGGCAGGAAACAACCAAGGCCAGCTGACACCTCCTAACAAGGGATCCCCCAGGTAGCAACCAGCCAGGCTTTGAAGCTGCAAGGCCATGAAATGCTAATCAAGGTGGCCAATTGCAACAGTCACATTTGCCTCAAGCAGACAAGAGTTTTTTCTCCCTGGACATTCCACAGATATATAAACCCCACTTGCCTAGTTTCTAATAGACCTTCCAACCTATGAGGATGACTGACATAGATGTGGGTGAAATGTCAAGAGAGAATGCTTTTGGAACATAGCCATACAGCCTGGAAACATGGCCATACAGCAACTCCAAAAACAAATACATGTAACAAGAGCAAATTAAACCTGATATCTCACTGGAAGCCAAATTGCCTGAGACTGCTGTACTTTGGCTATGTTACAACCTATTAGAAATGACAATGCCTTGCAAAGCGAGAGATAGAAAGAGAAAAGAAGACCAAATGAGTTGATTCAGTCAAGGAACCCACAGCTCTCTGTTTACAAGATCTTATCAGGGCTGTTACAAATCTATAACTCATTGTTACCACAAATCAAAACTATGTGCGTTATGTGGTTTCAAGTTATTTTTGATTTATGGTGAATCTGTCACAGGATTTTCTTGGCACGATTTGTCTTCCTTTGAGGCAGAGAGATTGTGACTTAGTCACGGCCACTTGGTGGCTTTCCATGGCTGAGTGTGGATTCAACCCTTGCTCTCCAGAGTCCTAGTCCAGCACCCAATCCTTACATAGTTCTGAACCAAAGCTGACATGACAGAAATAAGAACAGGATATCTGTACGCTATCAGAAGCGTAGTCCCTCCTTTAAGACAAAGTCTCTATGACAACAATGATCCATAGTGAAGTATGTCTAAAATATGTATTTAATAGAGAACAGAAAGTATCAAATCTGAGTTCCTCTTCACACAACCCACCGTGGGGTCTATTGGCAGGAAAACAGCTATGTGGGATTTAATACAGCGGAGAAGCACGGTCAGTTATGGCTTTGGTTACTCCCTCGACTGAACTGCGCAGGCGCAGGGTTACCATATGTGCGATTCACAGGATTTATGACAGGAAAACAGTGCTTCTCAACCTGTGGGTCCCCAGATGTTTTGGCCTTCAACTCCCAGAAATCCTAACAGCTGGTAAATTGGCTGGGATTTCTGGGAGTTGTCGGTCAAAACACCTGGGAACCAAGGTTGAGAACCACTGAGCTAAAGGAAGCAAGTATTTGCCTCCTCTTCAGTTCACTGCAAAATTTCCCCTTTTTCCAGAAACCTGGCTCCAGTAAACTGCCTACACTCCAGTGTAGATTGCCAGTTTTTGTTGAAAGGTGAATCCCTGAGTTCAACTGTCGCTTTGCCATACAAAAGCTACTTACTACCCTTCATCCCCCTCCCTCAAATCTCATTGAGAATACAAATAAAGCACTTTGATAGTTCAAGGAATAAGGAACTGGTATGCATTATAATTAGGATACTTTGGATCCCAATAAGCACAATAGGCGGATTTAAAAAACATAGTTCGATTGTATTTCAGCCATGTTTCATACAACCATGAAAATTAATTTTGATAACAAACATATACTCTAAGCTACTCTGAAGGCTTCCCGTTTAGCGTTTCACATGTCCTATGGTACTGTTCCTTGGAGAATTTGATACCTATTTAGAAGATGCCCCACAGTCTGATCCATCAAAGTCTTGAGACTTTCCTCGTATTTGTTTAAGGAGAGAGCTGACTCCTATGGAAGAGCCAACCCAAGGTAGCAAATT